CCCCTTGCGACGCCGCGAGAAACGCTTAAACAGCGCCGCTGCCGACGCGCGCAAAACTTTTCCCAACTTTGCCAAACTTTCAGCAAATTGAAAAGAAGTTTGGGAAAGTGACTGCGCATGCGTCATTGTGTGGACGTGTACAGGCCCATTGAAGCAGAACAAAAGTGCTGCACAGCACAATATAATGCGGTCATATGGACGTCGGGTGTGTGTACGGGGGGAAATAGCCGGTGTTTTGACGCGGTTTTCGTGCAGTCCTCTCTCGCTAAATCTCGCCTCGCGTTCGGGGCGAAAATAATTCCCGAAAAGTGAAATTTTCGGCCAGTTTTCCGTGGAAAATTGTCAGGAATTGGAGGATTAGGGTTTTTCCCTTCAACGGGTGGTCTGACTGGGTTGCTTTCGCGCGGGAAAGCGTAGCATCTACCCCCGCGCATGCGGGGTAGGGTTGAAAATCGGCTGCTCCTGAGTCACACATTATCTCTAAATTGCTCTGACGAAATATCTACTCTTTATCATCCTTTGTTTTATCACAGTTTTGAACATTAAAAATGTATTTTGTTCAGTATCTCTTAATCCCAATTTTGACACCAAAAATGGACTATTTTTGGACAATGACCCGCACTGGGTAACGAAAGTGACCTTTTATTTGACCCCAGCTGCGAGTGCCGAGTGTGTCGTGCAGTGACAACCAAACATTCTTATCTTCGTGAGAAAATGTTCACATGAAACAATGCACGAATGTAACTTTTCCCGGAGAACATTGTTCTAGGATTTTCTCCGTTTCATCCCGAAGATCAAATTGACAACTCCCGCACCGTTTTTCAGGGTATACCTCTCAGATGTTTCGAGACAATTTGACACATAACCTAGAAAGTGTTGCATGCTGCACATGAATTAATTTCCCGGATATTCAAATTCAAATTCTTAACCGAAAATCACTATGTCGGTTATTTGAATTTTTTAAGCCGGATTTTAACGGTAACATGTATAATCTTTCACATTGTATTTCACGAGAGAAAATCTTTTTCTTAAAGTAATCTCTCCTCAATTTACATAACTGAGACTGCTCCTAAAATTCCAACTAGGAGTTAGGATGGTGAAATCCAGACGACAAAAACGTGTAAATGGTGGAGATGTTTTATAAGGCTGTTACATTTTAAAGCATATTTTAATTAAGTTGCATTTAACCTTTTTTAGTTCATACTGACAAATGTTCATGAGAGAGTTGGTAAATTTTGATTGGATTTCATTTTTACAAAATGTATATCAATTTCTAAAACAAACAAATTTCATTTAATTCAGTTGAATAATCTAATAAGTTTCTTGCTCGAGATGGGTGGAGCAGGTTTCTCTTGCAGAAACCAGGTCTGACGATTTATTTTATAAGAAACTTGTTCAATGTTTCAGATAAATTTTTTGCTTAAATCGAACCAGGGATTTTCACCGAGAATGATCTCTTTCTTAGACGGGGGTTTAGGCCTGCCCAGCCCGGCGCGTTTTCTGTGCCCGTGCAGTGCCTTCGCGTTCAGCCTCCCCAATTGTATAACAAACGCAGTGCTTCACCCTCGCGTTACACGAGAAAATGTGTTTTAAAATTATGATTAGGCTTTTTTTTCTTTTCCAGCCTATACTCAGAGGTCCAAAGGCCGATATAGAGTGAGAGGGGCTCAAGGAACGGGGACATGTGACGTCTGGGAGAAAATATAATTAATGACATCTGATTGTCCTATTTAGGGGAGCACTTATTGTTTCGTGGGGGCCACAGAGAAAGAAAATCGGGAACGTTTTGCTTCGCCGTACATTGTGGAATGAGTAAGCGTATACAAAGGCGATATGTGACGGGGAAATGTGCTTCGATTCACGGCCAACATGAACGGGTGCATAAGGACCCAACGCCCGTATACATACAGCCGTCGGCGCACTAAACATAACAATTAACACATCCAGGAAACGTAATGGGTCCTTTTTTTTTCTCGGGGTGATTTCTTAACAAAAGGAAACCTATTTTTACACCGACGCGAGGAAAATCCGTGTTCCAATATTTTTTTATCAATTTATATCTCAGTGATCTTTGGTAATTTGTTTGATATTTTCTCGCTAATTTGAAGTTCAAAACCAGCTAATTAACTCGCCTGGTAGTGGATAAGTGATAATAATGACTGTGCTTGGTTAAAATTGTTTCAGCTTAATAATTTAATGATTGATAATTTAATGAAAAATCCGGCAACATTGAGCTAGTAACCTATTTAAGAAAATAAAATTTGAACTCGGTGAGAATTGTATTTTTCAATATAATTTTTGTTATCGACAAAAATATTAAATTTACACCAAAATGTAATGATTCAGAATATTTTTTTTTCAAATGTATCACGTAAAATAGTATAGTGCTATAAAATTTTGGTTTTATCATTTTTAGCCATGATGTTTTTGAGATAACATGATCAATGTGTTCAGAGTGAAATGAATGTTTAAATGAAAAACAAAATCGTTTGCGATTGGATTAAATCCTGATTAATATTTGTTTGCTCTTCCCTCCACAAAAAAAGAACAAAGAACCAACAACCCAAAAGAAATAAACAAATAATAAAACACAACATGAATCCGACACAAACACCCAAACAAAAACCTGAACTCGTTTTTCTTTAATACGATCAATATAGTCTTAAATGCAACATGTTCAATTATCGCGTAATATTATTCGTTTGTCCTTTCTTGTTTTCATTCTGTAGAACGCATAGAGTACAAGTCGATCAGAAGTACCTCCAAAACAATATACTTATTTCTAAAGTGACAAATTCGTTGAAAGAGCAGTCATCACAAGAAGATGATTATCAAATGCCCATCAAATTCTACGGAAGCCTCTAACCATAGATAGAGATTCCATCTTTTTAATTTCCTCTTTTGACTCAAAGTTGTATAACAATGTCAAGCATGCATGCATGCATTTTTAATTTTTATAATTTCCGAGCACCACAATATTTATAGGCATGTGTTGAGATCAGGCACTCGGCCGCCCCACCTCTGAATTACAGAACAATGACGCAGTTTGCTGTTATTTTTTAATATTATTTATAGGTTAGTGTTGCATGAAATTGCCAGTGACCAATAAAGTCATGTATACATTTCCTGGACGTTTGAGGACACTGAGGGCGTTGCGCGCAGGCTAGGCGCTCACGCGTGTGACGATGATATCGGTCGTCTGTAGCGTCAATTTGAAACGATCGTTGTTGCTTTAATGACTGTCACTGTCTTTAATACTTATATTTGCTGCTGTTATTTTGATATAACCGTAAAAAATTTGAACTATCCGTTCTCACTTGTGTTAAGTCGATCGTTTTCGTCAGATTAATCAATTAAATTTAACACGAAGAAATGTTTTATCGAGGACAGCTACGTGATCAATGTGTGTGCCAATATGCAGTGAATGCATGTGATCAATGACTTATTCTTGTGTCCGACCAATTTTTTTTTAAAAGGCGAGCAAACGTGTGTAAAATATCCATTTATCCTTCATGATTTTTTGACTGAAGGTCCAATAGCCCAATTTAAGGCATACAAGTAGTAATTTCCCTGTGCCTACGTTTGTGATGTCGGAAGTGCAACGTGACCGTTCGTAACATTCGTGAGACCTAAACCACATGTTTACCACATTATCCAATTTAAAAATTAAAAAATATCGCACGTGCAAACAAGGGGCGTATTGGCAACATGTTTTGCTTGTGATCAATGATGTGTGACTGCTTTTTCACTAACCCTCATTTTATCTTTTCAATTAGAAATTAAAAAAAAATACGAAAAATAAAATGCATCTGGAACGGTAACAATGATGCAAGACGAATGTATCACGTATCGCAGTGTGATTGTTGAAAAGTTCATTTACCGGTCATTCTCTATACATCAATTCAATTTGCGGGGGGGGGGGGGTGACCAATGAACCCCCCTCATATCTGCAAAACAATAAGCGTAATAAAGTTTTTTTTTTCTTGTGGCGTGCCCCCCCCCCCCATCTGGTACTGTGCCCCCCCCCCCCCCCCCATGCCCCCGAAGCTGGCGACGGTGCTGGGGGGGGGGGGGGGGGCTACAAGTATGTCGTCATTTACATTTAAAAAGAGACGGAGGTTAGACAGAAATGAACGATTGATGCTGTGTTTTTGTCCGCCACTTTGCACCGAGGGGTTGACACAAAAAGAGGAAAATTAGTGGCGCCTATTTCTGGGGTCATGATTCGACCAACTTTTGATGTTGCATTTGCGCCCGAAGGCTCACCCGGAGGAAATCAATCATATTCTGCTTAGTCTCAACATAATAAAACATGAATTCTTTCTTCCCAACCCATCAATCGAGCCCGCTGGCAATCGAATAGCGCAGGGATGATAAAAAGGCAATAATTTAAACGTCCTTATTTTAGGACTTTTCAAACATTTGGTTGGCAATTTTGTAACTTTTTTTAGTACAACCAAAATGTCAATTTTTATAACGGAAATGTATATTGTTGATTTTTGAGTTTATTGTAAATATTAATTATTTCATTTTATATTAATTTTTGATGACCTTATATGGTACCTATCCCGACCCACTATCCAACAACCCGGTATGGTAGTCATTGCTTATGGAGGTCCTGCACAGGCGTAGATACTTCAAACTATTAATAGAAAATGAATTGAACATAAAAATGAATGAAACTGAACCCCCTCCCCCTCCCCAAGCGCAAGAAATCCGAAATCCCAAATACCAGAATATTAAAAGTCTGTCTCCACTATCGTTCATGAAAATTTCTTTCGGCAGTTGAGGAAAATAATTATAGGTGACATTTCTGACATTGTATCGTATTTTATAACAAACTACTTTAAACCACCTAGAAAAAGGTATCTCACACAAAAAACAGAGAATTTTCCAGAAGAAGGTTGTTTCGAAAGTAGGCCTCGGCTGCCCTGCACGTTGACCTCTTTTCTGTGATGTATGTTTTGATTGTATAGCGCCCCCCTTTTAGACACTGAAAAAAAAACCCAACCAATCGCCAGTTCCAAGATGGCGGCGCCCATGAGCGCTTGTATTTTCGGTCGTCTGCGTTGTGGAAACTGACTCGGATAATAAACGTTGAATTGGATTCTACTAAGTACTAAACGATGAGCAAACGGAAACGCGAGGAGGGAGAGATGGAGCCTAGAGAATTTACAAATAATTTCGATGCTTTCAGCGAAGAAATATCGAAGAGTTGGCAACAGGTTAGCTGGAGTTACCCAGCCCTGAGTTTTTTCATTGCGTTGTCTATTAGGGCTGGAGCGCATTTTTCTCAAAACTTGTAGTATTTGCAAAAAAAATTTGGAAAAAGTTCAATTTTGTCCCCGTTACACACTATTTGCAACTGCAACTCACCCCAAACTTGCCTGGAATAACCATTACACAGGTCCTTGAAGTAAAAAACGATCCACGATGAAGATTCAGCCTACAATTGCAGTGAAAACTAGCTGGAGTTACCCAGCCCTGAGTTTTATCATTGGGTTGTCTATAGTATTAGGGCTGGAGCGAATTTTTCTCGTAACTTGTAGTATAGGCAAAACATTTTGGAAAATGTTCAATTTTGTCCCCGTTACACACTAATTGCAACTGCAACTCACCCCAAACTTGCCTGGAATAACCATTACACAGGTCCTTGAACTTGAAGTAAAAAACGATCCACGATGAAGATTCATCCTACAATTGCAGTGAAAACAGGAGGAATAACCGCTAACTTGACAACCTTGCTGGATTGGCCAGGACCGCAATTGGTTTGTGCACAAAAAAAAATTGTGTACAATGAATGGCGGTCGATTAACAGGCACAGAGAGCGATCGCTGTCAACTACTCGGTTTCGCCGGCTGCGCTGGCTGTTGGCGCATGACGTCACGCAGAAGCGTAACACCCGATGACTGTTTCATGCACTATTGGTTGCGGTTCCAGTACCAAAGCTGTGATGCGAGTGGTAAACCTTATATTAGTGCATGAAACAGTCATCGGGTGTTACGCTTCCGCGTGACGTCATGCGCCAACAGCCAGCGCAGCCGGCAAAAACGAGTAGTTGACAGCGATCGCTCTCTGTGCCTGACCAATTGCGGTCCTGGCCAATCCAGCAAGGTTGTCAAGTTAGCGGTTATTCCTCCTGTTTTCACTGCAATTGTAGGCTGAATCTTCATCGTGGATCGTTTTTTACTTCAAGGACCTGTGTAATGGTTATTCCAGGCAAGTTTGGGGTGAGTTGCAGTTGCAATTAGTGTGTAACGGGGACAAAATTGAACATTTTCCAAATTTTTTTGCCTATACTACAAGTTACGAGAAAAATTCGCTCCAGCCCTAATAGACAACCCAATGAAAAAACTCAGGGCTGGGTAACTCCAGCTAAGTGAAAACAGGAGGAATAACCGCTAACTTGACAACCTTGCTGGATTGGCCAGGACCGCTATTGGTTTGTGCACAAAAAAAATTGTGTACAATGAATGGCGGTCGATTAACAGGCACAGAGAGCGATCGCTGTCAACTACTCGTTTTGCCGGCTGCGCTGGCTGTTGGCGCGTGACGTCACGCGGAAGCGTAACACCCGACGACTGTTTCATGCACTAGTATAAGGTTTACCACTCGCATCACAGCTTTGGTACCGGAACCGCAACCAATAGTGCATGAAACAGTTATCGGGTGTTACGCTTCCGCGTGACGTCACGCGCCAACAGCCAGCGCAGCCGGCAAAACGAGTAGTTGACAGCGATCGCTCTCTGTGCCTGTTAATTGACCGCCATTCATTGTACACAATTTTTTTTGTGCACAAACCAATTGCGGTCCTGGCCAATCCAGCAAGGTTGTCAAGTTAGCGGTTATTCCTCCTGTTTTCACTGCAATTGTAGGCTGAATCTTCATCGTGGATCGTTTTTTACTTCAAGGACCTGTGTAATGGTTATTCCAGGCAAGTTTGGGGTGAGTTGCAGTTGCAATTAGTGTGTAACGGGGACAAAATTGAACATTTTCCAAAAATTTTTGCAAATACTACAAGTTACGAGAAAAATTCGCTCCAGCCCTTATAGACAACCCAATGATAAAACTCAGGGCTGGGTAACTCCAGCTAGCAACAGGTTAAGTATTCGCCATTTCGGGGCGGGCCGGGGGTCAGGAACTAGTCCGAAAATTTGGGACTCTCAATACAGTCACGACAGTGTGGGGGTCAGGAACATGAAGACTTCGATTTTGAGAGGGCGCTCATTCCACTGAAATCACTTTTAAATTTTTTAAAATCCAAATTTACTTTGACGCCATCGCTGAAATTTAGACAGTGTGGCGTGGGTAGCGAAATTTATAGAAAAGTAGGGAAATTACAATATAAATTATAATGAAGATTGGTAATCGTGTAGTTTTAGGACACTTCTATTTTTTACAACCTAGCCCCATAAATGTGGCCTATTTACTGGACTGCCTCCGTAAACATAGGCCACACGTCCACATGTACAAAAAACGTGTCGACTTTGCCAAATTTTGATTTTCACATTTAGGCTTAGTTTGTAGGATTTTTTTGCTTTAGAAGCATACTCGCCCACTTTATAGGCTAGTCAGAAAGTGCTGCCTTTTTCAGATGTCTAATTTTTGTGAAATTTCATGTTGAAATTTTGATACGCAAACGTGTAAAAATGAATCTGGAAATTTCACGAAAAATATACATCTGAAAAAGGCAGCACTTTCTGATTAGCCTATAAAGAGGGTGAGTATGCTTCTAAAGCAAAAAAAACCCTACAAACTAAGCCTAAATGTGAAAATCAAAATTTGGCTCCGTCGACACGATTTTTGTACATGTGGATGTGTGGCCTATGTTTACGGAGGCAGTCCAGTAAATAGGCCACATTTATGGGGCTAGTCAGGACCATGAAGACATCGATTTTGAGAGGGCGCTCATTCCACCGAAATCACTTTTCAATTTTTTTAAATCCAAATTTACTTTGACACCATCACTGAAATTTAGACAGTGTGGGTAGCGACATTTATAGAAAAGTAGGGAAATTACAATATAAATTATAATGAAGATTGGTAATCGTGTAGTTTAGGACACTTCTATTGTTTACAACTTCAGTTCATAAATCAAAACCCTGTCCTCTTTCCACATAATTAAGCAGCTGAGCTAATACCAGCGATACTATTTACATGTAGATGATTCTAAACACATGATAAAGTGACTTTTCCTGCTTGTATCATATCATCGCCAAATGTTTAGGTTTTAAGTCCCAGAACATAAAGTGTCTTTTCATCCCCTTATAAGTTATATGGAACGGGGTCCTAAACGTGCACCATTTCCACAAGTTGTTTACATTAACCGGGAAAATGATATTCTGTATCTTTTCCTAACTAGATAAGTGAGGGTTTTGCAGGTAAACTAAAAGCGGGCATATCCAGTCTCCTGCCTCGTATGGTGGAAGGGCTGAGGCAAGCGGATGACCATGACGACTCGGTGTATACTGGGAAAACTGGTGAGCCATTTCAACTCCGTGAACCGCGCGTCACTAAATATGAAGTTGGTGTGATGTTTTGATGTTTTTGCCAGCTTTATACATTTATATAGACCATATATGCCTTCTGTAGCACCATAAATATGGCTCCACATACTGGACTTCCTATGTATAATGAGCCACACGATAGGGATACGTGAAGCTTCGTGTGTGGAAAAGTTGTGTTGAAGGAAATCAAAATCAGGACTGTTTTTTTTTCACTTGATATTCACTATGGTAGAAACTTAACCAGTTAATAACCAGGAAAATTGAATTCTGTATCTCTAGATGCCTAGTTATCCTGTAATTTTCAGGGAAAATTTGCAGAGAGTTTGTCCACAAATGACTGATGTTTTTCCTCAGGGGTCTTGCTTCAACCTATTAATTTTCCTGGACATTAGGCCCCCCCAAAAAAGTCTCCGGTTTCTGGTATGGAGCTTGCCCCAAAAGTGGTGCGGCGACGCGGCTTTTTTTTTTTTTTTACCTGATTTTTTTGCTTCAAATGTCGGCTGATGACTGCAAATGGTGCCCAACTAAACTTAGTGCAAATATATGGGAGTCCAGAGAGGCCACATAAAGCTTATTCTCGACCATAACCCAATCTAAAAACACGTTAAAATTGTGCAGCAGCAGGATTCCAGTCAAACCAGTGAGTTTGGCGGTTTTGAGACATCATCTTTCATTGAAAAAAAACTTTTTTTTGGGCCTTAGTTGAAGTATCTCCCGATTTCGATGTCCTCAAAATCAACTTTTCCCCACATGCAGCTATCCCTACCGTGTGGCTCACAATACGGAGAAGTTCAGAGTCCAGTATTTGAACCACATTTATTGGGCTAGCATTGCTGATATCTTCAGGTATAGCTCTCCTGTACCTCCAGCTCCACACCGCCTTCCAGCAAGGCGACGACTTGGCCACGTCTTACCAGCATCTCAAGGCCCCACTACAGAGGCTCCGAGGCCGACGCCATACCTTCCTCTGCGGGGATGCGGGACCTTTAGCCGTGGGTGCCGTGGTGCTGAGCAAGCTGGGCCGAGCGTCCGAGAGCCAAGCCTGCGTTGACAAGTACGAAACTCTGAACTAGTCGTGGGTTGTGGGATAAGAAATTGTCAAAATCAGACTTGTGACGTGCAGTGCTTTGGAAATTTAGGGGTGTCAACCAAATTATTAGCCCTAACTCCCTAGGCCTTTTTGCTAAGATGTAGCCTCAATCCTGCAAAATCCTCAAATTGGCCTCATGGAAATACAGCATAGCCTCAATCCTGCAATTTCTTCCATTATTTCTTGAATATGGTCCGTGGCGGGGTCACCACTGCCTCAATCCTGCAAAATCTGCGGCAGTGACTGTCAATATGTTGAGGCTTGGCCAGTGACATCCTGGAGCAGTACGGAGGATTTCAAGCATAATCCAGGCCTATATTTATGCATGGCTGAGCAAAAACAACACAAGGTCTGGCCCAAGACCTTGACAAAGTGCATCCTACGAAATCAGTTATGCACTTTTGCCATGTAACCTCAATCCTCCTAATTCCTCCACTTTGGCAAAGAGGATTTTGAAGGATTCAGGGCGGTTAGGGTTAAAGAGGGGACTGAAAATGTTACAGGAAAATTCATAAAAGTTGCTGGAATTTCAGTTGGTTTGGAAAAGCTCCAGAAATGTATGTTTAGTTAAGGAAAAATCTTTACAAATCTAAAGACTCCTGGAAAAGTTCTGGATAAATGTCTAAAAGCCAGGAAGTTTGCAGGAAAATATGATGGAAAAGATCTGAAAGGTTTCCAAGACGATTGAAAAGATCTGAGTGGACTTATTGTAATATTCCTCAGAGGCCCTTTAAAGTGCCCTGGGAAACCCTGTTAAAGTCGTGGTAAATTTTTTAACATTCTTGAAAAGTATGGAACATTACTCAAAGCACAAAGGGTCCATCAAAATGCATATGCTTTACAAATTGCTAGAAAAAAAAAATCTTGTGTGTTGCACAGCTCTGAACAATATTATTGGTTTATAGCAGGGAAAGTTTTGTTCAGCTAGGTTACCAGCCAAAAGGTTGTGCAATGTTTCATTACTTGTGACTGGTACTTGGCAACTTGTCACTTAGCTTTTAAAATATACTAAGCAATATTATCTGTCTAGCATCTTCAAGAAATTGGGGCCCGTGTTATACATGTATATCGTCACCGTTTTGACGAAGTGACACATCCGTCCAAAACTGAGATTTTCTGAAATCTGAGATTTTTGAATATTCTAACATTTTATGATATCCTCTACATGATTACCAAATTTCGAGACACAACATTCCATCGTTCGTTAATTACGCTAATTGCACAAAGTGTTGAAAGTGTTACACACTAAGTTTTTCGTTTTGACGAAGTGACGGATCTCTATGTGTCACTTAGTCTCATTGATTTTACACGTGTGCTGTATTTAGAAATATGAAGCCTCCACGATTTGCGTTTTGACGAAGTGACGCATCTGCGTTCTAAAATGTATCAATTTCATATACGCGCACGCGCTGTGTACAAACACATGCCTCATTTTTGTGAAGAAGTAGATTTTCCGTTTTGCCGTAGTGACGGATATCTTTAGTAATTAATATCTTCTAATTAAACACAATTTTATGAACAGAGAGAATTGTTTTTGGCCATTTAACTCCTGTGCTATTGCTATTGTCTCAGTTATATATTTTTTCAATTCTGGGGGAGAAATGTACACAAAAATGCAGATTGAAAAATCCACCAACTTCAAACGCAATTTTCTCAAAACTCGGTTTTGCATCTGTGTGCACAGATGTGTCACTTCCTCAAAACGGTGACGATATGAGAGACACTGCTTTTTAAGCATCCACCATATTTCTGTAAATTATATCAAATTTTTAAATATTTTTTTTCAATTTTCAATTTTTCTTTCCAGGTTACACGACCTCCACAGAGCAGCCCTGGACCCCGGCCTCCCAGATGAACTCCTCTACGGCCGCGCCGGGTACCTCTACGCCCTCCTGTACCTCAAGTCCCGCCTACCGGGGGTAACCATCGACGATGCCGTGGTGGAGAGGGTGTACCGATGCATGATTGAGTCCGGAGGGACACTGTCTAAGAGAGAGAAGTCTAAATCGCCGCTCATGTATGCCTGGCATGAGAAGAATTACGTCGGGGCTGCGCATGGGATGTGCGGGATTCTGTGCTTGCTAATGCAGGTAAGCATTCCAATGTCGCCCATTTCTAGGGCCCAATTTTGCGATTCCTACAGAGCCGCTTTACATTTCGTGTAAGCACTAAGAACCGCAAAGAGTATGCTATACACTTCAGGAGAAGAATCAGCTTTTGTGATGCAGCATTTAAATTGTCCATGCATAATGAGCAGTAGCACATCTTTGACTGTGAAATATGCTTAATCCTAACTCCCTAGGCCTTTTTTTGCTAGGATGTAGCCTCAGTCCTGCAAAATCCTCCAATTGGCCTCACGGAAAAATAGCATATAGCCTCAATCCTGCAAATTCCTCCATTATTTCTTGAATATGGTCCGTGGAGGGGTGACCACTGCCTGAAACCTGCAAAATCCTGCGGCAGTGACTGTCAATATGTTGAGGCTTGGCCAGTGACATCCTGGAGCAGTACGGAGGATTTCAAGCATAATCCAGGCCTATATTTATGCAAGACCTTGACAAAGTGCATCCTCCGATATCAGTAACGCACTTTTGCCATGTAACCTCAATCCTCCGAATTCCTCCACTTTGGCAAAGAGGACTTTGAAGGATTCAGAGCTAGGGTTAAAGGTTTGCATAATTTTCTGCAAATAGCATTTATTTATTATCCACATCCAACAGCAGAACAAACCGCCAATTACAGGACTGGCATAGCAATGCCACTACCATACAACCCTGACATTGTGTCAAAAGTTAAATCTCACGCAAGACTAATTTCCTGTGAAGTTTTCTGAAAACTGTAGCATGCAACATGTGCCTTTTGACAAAATGCAGCTGAGAATAAGTAGACAATGTAAAAAATGGTTCCCTAACTTTTGAGAATTTTGTATATTTACCTTGAGTGGGAATTACGATATCCGGTTATGACATATATTGACATGCATGTTAGTTTATTTGTTTATTGGTTTATTTCATAAAATTCATATTGCAGCAAAATGCTGAATTACATGAAATTAAGTGTTGAAAAACAGACAACTAAAAAAAGAAATTAATTACAGTTTCATGGCAAAGAGAATTATTACAACTATTATTATTCATTATTTCTGGTAATGAAACCAACGAGTCCTCAAAAGCGTTCCAGGCACTGTAGCTCGGAAGCCTGAAGAAACCTGTAGAGTGGAGACAATGAGAAGAAATTATAGTTTTAGAGGTGGGAGAAAAACCCCAGAATGATATTCTAAGGAAAACCCACGGAATCAGGCAGGGACTGAAAACCAGGCCCAGGCAGGAATCGAACCCGGGTCACATCGGTGGAAGGCAAGGAAAGTACCGCTACGCCAACCTGACTCCCCATGCCATCATTTAGAGGTGGGAGGAAAACCCCAGAATGATATTCTAGGGAAAAAACCATATAATCTGGCAGGGACTAAAAACCGGGCCCAGGCGGGAATCGAACCCGGGTCACAGCGGTGGAAGGCGAGGAAAGTACCGCTACGCCAACCTGACCCCCCATGCCATCATTTCACCTTCTTTTTAAGGTCACTGCTCCCTGGGCCCAGCAGTTCCTCCATTCACACATCAAACCCAGCGTGGACTACGTCACGCAGCTGGCCTTCCCATCAGGCAATTTCCCCTCGTCGCTAGGCAACAGCTCGGACCGGCTGGTTCACTGGTGCCACGGTGCGCCGGGCGCCATCCATATGCTGCTACAGGCACACAAGGTACCCAGTTACAGTGAAATCTCGATAAGTCAAACTCTGATAACTCAAAACAACTGTTAAGTCAAACAAAGAATCCATTGGCTTCAGTAGTATAACAATGATATACAACCCTGCTTAACTCATAACTCTGCTTAAGTCAAATTTTGAACCTGTTCCCTTGAGGTTTGAGTTATCAAGATTTCACTGCACATGTAATCTGAATCTTGACCCAGTTTCGTGGTTCTGCTAATCACAGAATTCCACACTTATGATCACAATGCTGTGCTTACAGTACTGGTAAAGAAATTATGTGCTAATCCTGTAGGCACAGAATGCTTAGCTACCGGATGTACTCATAAGCATCAGCCAAAAATGTCTTGACTATGCTGTGAAACATGATGAAGCTAGAAGAGACGTTTCTGCCGTAGGTTGGGGAATTTCTTCACACCTCTAGGTGGAGAGAAGCAATGCATGACAAAGTGACTTGCCCAAGGGCACACGCACCATAACCCCAGGCTGGACTTGAACCCACAACATGCAGCTTTACCTGCAGACCACGAATCCATTACCCTTAACCACAAGGCCACAGCACTCCACACCGCCCTCTGGGGTTCATGCACAGACCCATTGAGTAAATTCCTGTTTTTTATGTTAATCAGCAGGTATTTGGGGAGAGTACGTGCTTGGGCTGCATCAGAATAACTTGCTGGAAATGACACACGTATCTATGGGAAGTGGCTACATAGGCGCATGTGTGATTTCCAACCATAGCCAAATAATGCGGATACGGCCTTACTCTCGTCGTTACATAGCGCCCTCTCATGTTACATAGCGCCCTCTCGAGTTCATGAACAAACTCAATGAGCTATGCAAATACAATGTATGTTAACATTGCCTTATGACAGGTATTTGGTGACAGCAAGTACTTGGAGGCGGCGCGGAGATGCGGCGTCGTAATCTGGGAGAGGGGTCTGCTTAGGAAGGGTTACGGGCTGTGCCACGGCACAGCCGGCAATGCCTACGCCTTGCTCACACTGTATCAGAGTACAAAGGACAGCAAATATTTGTATCAAGCTTGTAAGGTGAGGCTCAAAAGACGGTTACAGTTTTAGATGTTTGAGAGGATCAAAAGGATTTAGGATCATTTGCATTTATCCCAAATGTAACCTAATGAATGAAGAACAGCTTACTTGGATTTAAGATTGTACTGGTACTAAACACCCCGTGAAATTGTTCCGTCTGGCTTGCTGTCATTTAGAAGAAATCAACAAATGTAGGTGATTTCCAACGATCAGTCCATTGAGTGATTTTTGGAAATGCAGAGTGCTACTGACGAAATTGTGTTTTGTGATCAAAAGGTTGTGCATGGTTTTTCTTCTTCTTTATTTTCTTGAAAAGTGTAATATCTTCTGAGCTGCCTCTTCAACAGGTTAGGTTTTGAACAATCTTCTTTGGATTTTTGAGTGGTGGTGTTATTTGAAACAGACACGGGAAAAAATGTTGCAACCTGACGCCACTTCCGCGATTGTGTACAAAGTCTATGGAGAGTCAGGAGTATTTTCTAACAAAATTGGAAATGTTTCTCAGTCCCAGATTCATGTTATCATCATGTTTTGCAATGAAAGACCTTCATTGAGATGATATATGAAAAAAAAGTGGTGCTAGGTTGCCACATTTTTTCCAAAGACACACATGCACGAAAAGCAAATGGTTCTATATGCCTTAAGTGTTTTGATTCATGAAGTTTGTCTAATTTGTTTATTTGGTACTTACAAAAAAAATCATTAATGAGGAAACAAGACCGTTTTTAACTGTTGGTTTTCTTTATTGACAGTTTGCTGAATGGTGTCTGGACTATGGAAAGCACGGTTGCCGTACTCCCGACCGACCCTTTTCTCTGTTTGAAGGTGAGTTGAGAAAAAAAATAATAAGATTACAGTGAGAAAGTAAGTTCCATGGATAATTCAATGGGTGTGCATCAAGTTGAGAGTGATATTTTGTATTTTTTTTTTTAAATCAAACATTGAGTGTGAAAAGAATTTCTGAAGAGTACACTGTACCTTGTGAGACCTTAAAGGGGCCATGAAGTGAATTTTTCTTAGGAACATAATAATTTTGTGCAACTTTCTACTCCTCTTAAATGTATGAAAAACCTTTGACATCCCTTTTTGGTGATATATATTAAAAAGTGCACTTCTTTAAAGGGAAAATACAACATTTGCAAACATCAAAAAATAAAACTACCAAATCATTTTGAAATACGTTGCTGGACTGTTAGTGAATGACAGTGTAAAGCATCCTGTAAAATCATGGCACCTGGTATACTGTCATTTTCAAGAAAAGTGGTATTTTTGTATCAATTTCCAACGCTGGTCGACCGACCAGCGTTGGAAAAAAACTGGCTTTTTTTTCAAATACTGGCCCCAATTGTCCATCGCACTTGTTCGCAATCGATTACACACCTATGAACGGGTACAAGCCAGCTAGACTGGTTCCCTGACCTTACAATTCCCCAATGTATGTAAACTGCTCTGTTTCTTCTTATATGGAGTCAGGGAACCAGACTACAGGAAAACAATTGTTTTTGTTGGTTTTTATAGCATTTTCGAACCCAAAACCTCAAAAAAGTCAGTGTAACTATATTTGCTATATATTTCCAACCCCCCAATTCCATCCATTTCTGAAAATTACAGCAAAAGCAAATGATGTATATTCCCTTTAAGCATTAAAAATTTTCCATGCTTTTCTGGACAACTGAGGGCGCTGTTGCTGTGATGTCAGTTCAGGACGACACTGTTAATTTTACGGGTTTTCTGTGCAAATTGTGAACCCAACAATTTACTCATTGAAAACATTTGTGAGAAAAGTTTGCTCGTTGCCTTACTGCCATGTACTGCTGGCACAATGTATCGCCAAAGAAAAGAAAATTTACGACAGCGAAATATCCCAAGTTCTGGCAACTTTTGGTGCTGAAATGGCTGAAGCATTGAGGTTTTTGCCTGAAATGACATCATACTTTTGCTCATGAATATGGGAATTCGCTTTAGCAAAAAAAACAAAAAGCACCAAAATACCCTTGAAAATAGCAAAACGAATCTTGAAATAAGGTTGAATTGGACACAAAGATGCATTGCCAAGGACTCCGCTAAAAAAAAATACATTGCATGGGGCCTTCAAACTTTGCCCAAAAAAATGATGAAAACCTTTTCATGTTTTGAGGTAGAAAAAGAAATGCCCCCAAAAAAAGCCACAAATCAGTCGGATTGAGAATCAAACTAGACTCATATAAAGAGTAAAATATCAGGGAAAGGCCATCACACGAGCACAACTGGTCTCCTGTAATGGCATTTTCCTGCCACAAGAGGGCGGTATTGTACACAAACTCAACCCATCTCCTATGATAGCATTTTCATACCACAAAAGGGCGGTCTTCTCCATTAAGGAAACTTCAAACGAAAGAAACATGAATTCTGTGATACATACCTACAGGTGGGTGCGGACATCCAGGATTATTTTCCATTGGCTTGTCTAGCTCCCAGACCTATGTTCTTGAAACTCAATGGCTCTTGAGTCTGGAGTGCTGAATGGTAACACATAGCAATCGATGAAAACGTGTGCAAATGAATAGATGTTTTCATCAGACAACGTCAGCCTGCCCTGACCCATCAGCCAATTCATCCCATCAGCGTTGCAAGAAAAGTATTTCAACATGCCCTTATTGCAATTTTTTTCGCATTCGTTACAGGAATGGCTGGCACCATCTATTTCTTGGCCGACCTTCTCAATCCCGAAACTGCCCAATTTCCTGCTTTGTACATTTAGCTGGTTACTAGATATCTAACGGTCAAAGAGTTACAGACGAGAAAGGGAATTCTGCTGAGCAAGGACATTTGGTGAGCAGGACGTTGCAGACAACCAGTGAGATGCAGGTGATATTGTGTTATGCTTTGGTCCGCTCGTTCCCCCTGCCTGGCGCTGGGATGGGCTGATGAGCTTTACAAAATCTTGTGAAGGAAGTGGGGATGGCATTCTGGGTGATATCATGACCTATATAAAGACATCAAGCTGCAGCTTTTTAAGACCGCAGTTAGCCAATGTGCGCAAATCCTATCCAAAAATGTCTCATAGAAATACACACATTCCATACCGGATGTGATTTCTCTTTCATTGCGGACCATGTGGACATATTTTGAGCGTCGCGTAATATGCAATTTTACCCACGTGAATTCGAAGCGGAGCCTGAGCAAGTGGCGGGAATTGAAAATTTACAAAACAGATAAGTTTTACAGATGTTCCTATGTTATTACGCTTTTTAACGAAATTTTTTTTTTATGAATTGGAATAAAAGAGTGATGACTCAGTCTTAACGGCCGTTTAAAACCTTGCAGGGTCGTGGCCGTGATGACTTGCAGGTCACGCAAAATCTATCCAATCAGAGCGTAAATTCATCAGCCTATCCCAGCGTCCTGTTTGCTGGGCGGGGGTAGGAGTGAAATGCTTTGACTGTGAATCAGTTAGTAGACAATATGTTTGTTAATATTTTCACTTGAGCTATGTTACTTCTACTTTGGCTTAGCAAAAATAATAAAGTAAGCAAAGTAATACTAACATCTTCCAGATACTCAATACATTGTGATACATATGAAAAGCTCTGCTGTAGCAGGAACAGTCAGAAACAACTTGTTCCTTATCATTTCGGTTAGTGGTAACACCATGTGGTAATAACTACTGCTTAGGAGATATTTAGTTCTGAAAAGAACTTGTCCTGCTTATTATCAACTTTCGCTAAGTAGTTTTAGTTCCGATAAGAACAGTGTCGTAAAGACAAGTTATTTTAGAACTTAAAGGGAATGTACAACATTTGCTTTTGCTTCAATTTTCAGAAATAAATGGATTGGGAGGATTAGTATGTTATAGCAAATATTGTTAAACTGACTTGTTTCACGTTTTGGGCTTGTAGATGCTGGAAAAACCAAGAAAATCATACATTTTCTTGTAGTCTGGCTCCCTGACCCCACTTAAGATGAAACAGAGAATTTATAGACTTTGGGGGAATTGTAAGTTCAGAGAATCAGTCTAGCAGGCTTGTTTCCCTTCACAGGTGTGTAATCAATTGCAAATAGTTTTTGCAGTTTTTGCAGCAAAGAGTTTGCAAGCAGTTTTTGAAAAAAGCCAGTTTTCTCCGACCAGCGTTGGAAAAATACAATTTTTCTTGGAAATATTAGCACACCAGGAGCCACGATTTTACAGGATGCTTTAGACTGTCATTCCCTAACAATCCAGTAAGGTATTTTGTGATAATTTGATCATTTCGTTTTGAGATGTTTGCAAACGTTGTATCTTCCCTTTAAAGCAGTACTGTTCTTATCAGAACTAAAACTACTGAGCGAAAGTTGATAATAAGCAGGACAAGTATTTTTCAGAACTAAATATCTTCTAAGCAGTTATTACCACATGGTGTTACCGCAAACAGAAACGATATCGATACTCCACCATGCAAAGCCTAAAATCTTATAAATTGTTTATTAAAATTAAAGGGCCCATGACGTGAATCTTACTTGGGAACATATTTTGTGCAACTTTCTACTCCTCGTAAATGTATGAAAACTATTTGACATCCCTTTTTGGTTAATTTTATTGAAAAGTGCATTTTTTTAGAACATTTATAGTTTTCCATGCTTTTCCTGACCTATGAGGGCGCTGTTGCTGTGATGTCATTTCAGGAAGAGACTGTTCAGTTTAGAGGTTTTCTGTTCAAATTGTCAACCCAAAATCTGTTCATTGAAAACATTTGTGAGAAAAGTTTGCTTATTGGCCTACTGTCATGTACTGAAACAATGAATCACCAAAGAGAAGAAAATTTACGAAACCAAATCTCCAAAATTCTGGCAAATGTTGGTGCTGAAAAAGCAGTAACATTGAGATTTCGGCCTGAAGTGACATCACACTTTTGCTCATGAATATTGAAATTGGCATTAACATAAAAACCAAAAAAGGCACCAAAACGCCCTTAAAAAAAATTGGCAAAATGAAAATTGGAAATAATGTTATTGGGACACAAGAAATTACATTACATGGGCCCTTAAACATGTTGTTTCTGGTTCAGAGAAATGCTGTTAAAACTACTGTTCAAACTGAACTATTGATAGCTTCAATCCATAAATGGTCTTATGCGTGTCGACACTGGACAAAGAGTAAGTTTAAGGCCTACTTGAGCATGAACTGTACTTTGAAGTTACTGCAGCAGATTTATTTTCCAATGGCAACAAAAGATCATGTTTTGCAGAGTCGCTTGTAGGACTAATGTAAGAATATTTTATTTCACTTCATTTCATATGCCCCTCGTTACAGAAAAAAAAAGTCTTTATCTAATGTTCTCTTGCCAAGTTTTGTTACATTGTTTTCCTGAGAAGTTTTGCTTTATTTTTTACGAAGATTTCAGGATTTTTTATGTCCTGAAGGAAATCGTTATGAATTTCCCACTTTACCTACTCAATCATTTTTCTGAAGGGAAAAAGCTGGAATAATGAGCATTAACCAATGTTACTTGTTAAATTGAGATTTAAAAAAAAACTGATTCATTCAAAGCCTGAAGATGTTTCTTTTCTTCCTTGCCAAGAAGTAAAATCAGATGCTGCTTGAACTTATTAACAAAATCGCTTTTGACTCGAGATGTTTATCAAAATTCAGAGTCTTGTAATTTTGCAGCTTACCAATAGACATATAGTGTTCCCAATGTTCATTTAATTGTTGAATTAATAATAAAAGGTCTTATGATCGAAAGAGGAACTGTGGCAACACAAACACCCATTTCTATTAGCCCCCCCCCCCTCCTCCTTCCCAAAAATCAAGTTGAGTTTTCCCACTCACCGACCATCTTAAACTCTTTTTATTGAAAGCAAATTTACAATAGGTACAGGGTGTTTAAAAAAAAGAACGAACGCTCAAAGCGTCCTCTTTTTCACAGCTTAAAAAAAAATACATCGCAAATATCGATACATATTTTGAGAGTATAGTCCATCAGCTTTTCAACAACGAAAAAATCTTTCCAATCGGGTAAATATTGATTGAGTTATGGCCAGTTGAAAACAAGTACATGTATTGCTTTTTCCGGGTTTTTTTCCACGGCGACTGAGATTTTGACTGCCGCAATATTAAGAACACGGACCGAAACTTGCATTTGAGATAAAGGCTACCAGGTAGAGGACAGAGCAGCGAAGTAAACATCTAAGAAGTTAACCAAACAGTTCTCTTCAGGACTACCATTACTTCCAAAAGGAGAAATGACCATTGTTGCAAAAAAATAAGTAATCAACAAAACAAATAAAGAAAGATGAAAACATAAAAGAAAGCAAAATTACCCTCACCCAAAATCCATTACATTTCTAACAATTGACAATTGAGACCGTGGACAGATTGAAAAATCGGCACTTATTTTGAATTGGCCATAACTCAATAAATATTAACCCGATTGGAAATATTTTTTTCGTTGAAAAGCTATACTCTCTAAATATGTATATCTATTTGCGATGTATTTTTTTAAGCCATAAAAAGGGAACGCTTTGAGGCTTGGGTGTTTTTTTTAGACGCCCTGTATAATACAACAACTAGAATGTGTGCACAAAATAATAGTATATTGTTATTGATACCTAGTGTTTTTTTCAAACATTAGCAGAAACTGCGAAAAGGAGTCTGTAAAATTGCAACTGAAAGAAAACGTTGAATATTTTTGTATTCTGTCGTGTTGGGTTTTGGGATGAGTGTGAATATTTATGTGAATCGTCCAGGAACCAACTGTGAGATCCTCTCGTCATTTTACTTCTCCCAGCATTCTTTACAACCTGCGAAAAAAAGAAAAATTCTGTCACTTTTCTGAATGTTAACATTATGTGGACTTGAACCGGACACCAAACAATTAGAATTTCGTGAGAACTAATTTGAATGTCATTTATGTGACGAAATGGAAGTCAAGATGTTAGGAAATATGTGCATTATAAATCACAACTCAATTTCAATCCAATTGAAGTCTGTAATGATTTGCACAAAATAGATGAGAATTTTTGATTTGGCGTGGAATCGAACCCAAGACAAACTGATCTGATGCTCACCGCCTCCGAATATCTCCAGCCTGATAGCGATAGCATTTTCCCATTTGAGGGGCAGGATGCGAAGGTAGTTTGTAGAAACCGCCGGGCGAAAGTCGTTAATCTTCGGGTAGAATTGTCCACGTTGCCTTCATAAATCTTTGGGGGAAAAAGTGAAATTTGTCCAAGAATCGCCATAATAAAGTTGCATTTATAAAAGTTGAGTTTGTGCTCTTGCCCACGTTTACATGACCTGAATAGATCTAAATAATTTTTAAAAAGCACTCATATGAAATTATTTAAATTTTGTGAAGACCTCCATTATTCCATCTTCCAGAACCCCAACAAGGCACATTTTGATTGGTTAAAAATTTTGACCAATGAGCAGCCAAGATGGAGTACAACTTTTGAGCCTGCTGATTGGTCGAATAGCTTTGTCTAATTAGTAAAGCTGGTCAATCAGAAACTTTTGGCTAGCATAAATTAACCAATCAGCAACGATCTTTGCTACATCAAATACCGACCTTTGGTTGACTGTGCATGTCCAGTACGCACGACATGTGCTCGGTGTCCGCACCGTACTCAACCTTGAACTCAGTCACGTAGAATGTGTGGATGGGACTGCCCTGCGTGAGTATCGCAGTCACGTAGATTGTCGATGGTAGACGAACCTTGAGAACGAGGACAAAAATAGTTTGGGAGAAAAAAAACGAGTAAACATTTAAACTGCATCGTGGTGAAACTGAAACTACATATTTTCTTTGTATTTTACATAAACTGGATCAAATAAATCGGTTGTAGCTTGTCAACTAGTTTGATTTGCCAGATCTTGGTTTGGTAAACCGGCTTGATTTGGTTTGTACCGAGATGTAACTTGGATTAACTGGTTGGACGTTGTTGTATTGGTATTGATATCGATCTGGTAAGCAATCTGGTTTGTACAGAAGCTAGGTTAGGTAAACCGGTTAGACTTGGTTTCAATCTGAATCGGGTAAGCTGGTTTGATCTGGTTTATGCAAGATCTGGCTTGGGTGAACTTTGTAAAGCCGCACGTTTAGGCCTATAACCGCTTTATTGATATCGATCAGGTATTAATAACCGGTGTGATCAGTTCTTGGTAAAATGGT